GCGATTGAGACTTGACCTTGATGAAGGGTGGTGTGAGACTTTACATGACATAACAATACATCACATTGAGACTTGACCTTGATGAAGGGTGGTGTGAGACTTTACATGACATAACAATACATCACATTGAGACTTGACCTTGATGAAGGGTGGTGTGAGACTTTACATGAAGGGTGGTGTGAGAGTACATGAAGGGTGACGAAGGGAAGTGGTGACGAAGGGAAGTGGTGACGAAGGGAAGTGGTGACGAAGGGAAGTGGTGACGATGGGAAGTGGTGACGAAGGGAAGTGGTGACGATGGGAAGTGGTGACGAAGGGAAGTGGTGACGAAGGGAAGTGGTGACGATGGGAAGTGGACGAAGGGAAGTGGTGACGATGGGAAGTGGTGACGAAGGGAAGTGGTGACGGAGGGAAGTGGTGACGATGGGAAGTGGTGACGAAGGGAAGTGATGATGAAGGGGAGTGGTGACGAAGGGAAGTGGTGAAGAAGGGAAGTGGTGACGAAGGGAAGTGGTGCGCATTGGAATGGCTGCATGGGCTTTGTGTTGGGGAGGAAGCTGGAGCACGAAACCTTGTGTTTTTCCGTGTAAAGTGGCTGCAGGCGACGATGAAAGGTACCTCGTGTGTGCGACGGGTGCGGCTGGGGTCGTTTCATGCGCGAATTGTTCCTCCTGTGTTTTTTGCAACGAGTGGTTGTTCCTGTGTGCGTAGTTCTATGCGGTTCTTGAAGCTGTGGTTGCAGATCGCATTGGAATGGCTGCATGAATGTTGCATGGGTTATGTTTTGGGGAGGAAGCCGGAGCACGAAACCTTGTGTTTTTCCGCGTAAAGTGGCTGCAGCCGGCGAAGAAAGGTACCTCGTCTGTGCGGCGGGTGCGGCTGGGGTCGTTTCATGCGCGAATTGTTCCTCCTATGTGTTTTGCAACGAGCGGTTGTTCCTGTGTGCGTAGTTCTATGCTTGAATCTCTGGTTGCATGATCGCATTGGAATGGCTGCATGAATGTTGCATGGGATATGTTTTGGGGAGGAAGCCGGAGCACGAAACCTTGTGTTTTTCCGTGTAAAGTGGCTGCAGCCGGCGATGAAAGGTACCTCGTCTGTGCGGCGGTTGCGGCTGGGGTCGTTTCTGTCGCGAATTGTTCCTCCTATGTGTTTTGCAACAATGGTTGTTCCTGTGTGCGTAGTTCTATGCGTTTCTTGAAGCTGTGGTGGCAGCTCGCATTGGAATGGCTGCATGATTGTTGTCATTTGGTGTTGCCACGTCCGTAGATAGGTGCAGGTTTGCTACGGGATGTTGCATGGGCTATGTTTTGGGGAGGAAGCTGGAGCACGAAACCTTGTGTTTTTCCGTGTAAAGTGGCTGCAGCCGGCGATGAAAGGTACCTCGTCTGTGCGGCGGTTGCGGCTGGGGTCGTTTCTGTCGCGAATTGTTCCTCCTATGTGTTTTGCAACGAGTGGTTGTTGCTGTGTGCGTAGTTCTATGCGCTTCTTGAAGCTGTGGTGGCAGATCGCATTGGAATGGCTGCATGAATGTTGCATGGGCTATGTTTTGGGGAGGAAGCCGGAGCACGAAACCTTGTGTTTTTCCGTGTAAAGTGGCTGCAGCCGGCGATGAAAGGTACCTCGTCTGTGCGGCGGTTGCGGCTGCGGGCTTTTCTGTGGCGAATTGTTCCTCCTATGTGTTTTGCAACGAGTGGTTGTTCCTGTGTGCGTAGTTCTATGCGTTTCTTGAAGCTGTGGTGGCAGATCGCATTGGAATGGCTGCATGAATGTTGCATGGGCTATGTTGTGGGGAGGAAGCCGGAGCACGAAACCTTGTGTTTTTCCGTGTAAAGTGGCTGCAGCCGGCGATGACAGGTACCTCGTCTGTGCGACGGGTGCGGCTGGGGTCGTTTTGTGCACGAATCGTTCCTCCTATGTGTTTTGCAAGAAATGGTTGTTCCTGTGTACGTCATTCTATGCGTTTCTTGAAGCTGTGGTTGCAGATCGCATTGGAATGGCTGCATGAATGTTACATGGGCTAGGTTGTGGGGAGGAAGCCGGAGCACGAAACCTTGTGTTTTTCCGTGTAAAGTGGCTGCAGCCGGCGAAGAAAGGTACCTCGTCTGTGCGGCGGGTGCGGCTGGGGCCGTTTCATGCGCGAATTGTTCCTCCTATGTGTTTTGCGACGAGTGGTTGTTCCTGTGTGCGTAGTTCTATGCGGTTCTTGAATCTCTGGTTGCATGATCGCATTGGAATGGCTGCATGAATGTTGCATGGGCTATGTTTTGGGGAGGAAGCCGGAGCACAAAACCTTGTGTTTTTGCGTGTAAAGTGGCTGCAGCCGGCGATGAAAGGTACCTCGTCTGTGCGGCGGGTGCGGCTGGGGCCGTTTCATGCGCGAATTGTTCCTCCTATGTGTTTTGCAACGAGTGGTTGTTCCTGTGTGCGTTGTTTTTTGCGGTTCTTGAATCTCTGGTTACATGATCGCATTGGAATGGCTGCATGAATGTTGCATGGGCTATGTTTTGGGGAGGAAGCCGGAGCACGAAACCTTTGTTTTTCCGTGTGAAGTGGCTGCAGCCGGCGATGAAAGGTACCTCGTCTGTGCGGCGGGTGCGGCTGGGGTCGTCTCATGCGCGAATTGTTCCTCCTATGTGTTTTGCAACGAGTGGTTGTTCCTGTGTGCGTTGTTTTTTGCGGTTCTTGAATCTCTGGTTACATGATCGCATTGGAATGGCTGCATGAATGTTGCATGGGCTATGTTTTGGGGAGGAAGCCGGAGCACGAAACCTTGTGTTTTTCCGTGTAAAGTGGCTGCAGGCGACGATGAAAGGTACCTCGTGTGTGCGATGGGTGCGGCTGCGGTCGTTTTGTGCGCGAATTGTTCCTCCTATATATGTGTTTTGCAACGAGTGGTTGTGTCTGTGTGCGTAGTTCCATGCGGTTCTTGAATCTCTAGTTGCAGATTGCATTGGAATGGCTGCTTCATTGTCGTCATTGGATGTTGCCACGTCCTTAGATAGGTGCAGGTTTGCTACGGGATGCTGCGAAACGCATTGTAGTGGCTGCGTCAAGGTTGCTCGGTGCTGCGGCTGCATGCGTAATACTATTGTCTTTTGCAGCTGAAGATCGTAAATCGTATTGGAATGGCTGCATCAAGGCTGCGAAAGTGAATTGTCAGCAGATTTTCTCAATTTTGGCGCTAATTATTTTCCTTTCAAAATTCCTTTTAAAAAGTGGTTCAAAATCGTCTTTTTGTCGCTTTGGCGTCGAGATCCAGTTTTGGAGCTGCAATTTCCGACGCCGTTGCACGTAGTTCTATTGTGTTTTGCAACTCAGTCTCTGCAGATCGCATTGTAGTGGCTGCGTCAAGGTTGCTTGGTGCAGCGGCTGCATGCGTAATACTATTGTTTTTTGCAGCTGAAGATCGTAAATCGTATTGGAACGGCTGCATCAAGGCTGCGAAAGTGATTTGCCAGCAGATTTTCTTAATTTTGGCGCTAATAATTTTCCTTTTAAAATTCCTTTTCAAAAGTGCTTCAAAATCGTCTTTTTGTCGCTTTGGCGTCGAGATCTGGTTGTGGAGCTGCAATTTCCGACGCCATTGCACGTAGTTCTATTGTGTTTTGCAACTCAATCTATGCAGATCGCATTGTAGTGGCTGCGTCAAGGTTGCTTGGTGCAGCGGCTGCATGCGTAATACTATTGTCTTTTGCAGCTGAAGACTGAAGATCGTAAATCGTATTGGAATGGCTGCATCAAGGCTGCGAAAGTGATTTGTCAGCAGATTTTCTCAATTTTGGTGCAATGTGAAGTGTGAGGAAAGTGTTTGCATTCTACCGGGGTCGCGCGCAGGTCATGTTCTTGGACAGCAACACTGCAACAGCTTCGCACAAAGCACGCACGCACGAGCCTGGCTGGCGCACGGCGCATGCAAGTTCCTTAGTAGTAGTACTGGGAAGTGATTCATGAAAGCTTAGATGACATATGAGAAGAGATGAGATGAGAAGAGATGAGCTGGGATAAGGTGAGAAGAGCTCAGATGAGATGAAGTGTGGAGTGTGAAGAGTGCAGTGTGAAGTGTGGGGCGTGAAGAGTGCAGTGTGAAGTGTGGAGTGTGAAGTGTGAAGTGTGGAGTGTGGAGTGTGAAGTGTGAAGTGTGGAGTGTGCAGTGGGAAGCGTGCAATGAAGTGTGAAGTGTGGATTGGGAAGAGCGCAGTGTGAAGTGAGAAGTGTGGAGTGTGAAGTGTGAAGTGTGCAGTGTGGAGTGTGAAGACTGCAGTGAGAAGTGGGAAGGGCGAAGTGGAGCTTCACATGTGACATGTGAAACAGGACACCACTTTCGCAGAGTGCACGCACGCACGGGCTTGGCTGGCGCACGGCGCATGCAAGTTCTATAGATGAGAAAGGTCTTATATATATCTTTAAGGCAACTTCCGCCCCGCCTCGTGCGGGTACTACTGGTATACAACCCCATCAGATCGCACTTTCACAAGGGGAAGGTGGCCCAGTTCCTACTCAGTTGAATGACTCACTCATTCGGAATCATTCAAACAGTTCATATGTTGGCTCAATGGCGCGTAATGTTCAATTGATTTCCATGACCAGAATGTTCAACAGGAGGCCCGTGAAGCAACATGACCAGGGGCATTAGACACGGACTTTACTGATTGATGCATTTTGCAGGTGGTTGAGACAAGGCCAATAGAATCTAGGACGATTTCATAGGGGTATGTGTCCAGATGTTTTAAGCAATTGCTATTGTGTTCCGTCATGCTGCTGTCGTAATTCCTGACAACAGACCACAACAGTCCAAGAGCCAAGGCTGCTGCAAACGCATAGCAGAGCAGCCATCGAGTTTTTTTTGTGGTCCTTCTTCATGTGACTTCCCCCATATACAGATCCAGGTGTTACACCATTGCGTAACAGGTTTATTATTCAATATTATTCGTATATACCGAGCCAATACATTTACAATTCACAGAATCACAGATTTACTTGCTCCATTCCTTGCGGCGCAATGTCGTCGCTGGTGGAAGGATCACTTCCCGAGGCATGTAAAATTTCACCGGTGAAAGACGTGGTTGAATCATGTTGAATCCCTGATGACCCGCAGCGTAACGGAACATTCATCCACTGCCATGGCCATGAGGTGCTTTACTAATGTTACTAATCTTACTACATGTTACCCTCTGGTAAATTAACATAGACCCTGGTAGATAGGGGTTGGAAGATTAGTTTCCATTGAAACTAGTCTAGAATTTCAGGGTCTATGTTACCAGAGGCTACTACTTTCCTGATCAGCTTTGAACTCCAACCAACATGTTTTTTTTGCTGCAAAAATGCTAATGAAAATCCTCACCAATTCATCATATTTGGATTTCATGTTCGATTTCACCGACTTCCCGGGATGCATGTTTTTTTCAGGCGAAGAGCGCGGGGAGGCGGAGGCGAACCGTTCGTTCCATTGGACCAATGGGAAAATCATGGAACATCGGTGAATTTTCCAGCAAACCATCTTTGATGCCAGGGGCTATGTGAAATTCACGTTAATAAATGATTAATAAATTATCAATCATAATACTTAAGTTAATAATACATTGTTAATGCTGAAATTCAGGTTTGATACCAAGGGAGTTCTCCGACTCATTGCCTTGTTCCATCCGCTCTGTTTGGATCTCTTTTCGCGATCATTGCACCTGAAAAATCCCATGTTTGAATATATTTGAGACTACTTGGCCGGGCCCTTAAACAAGGAGTAGAAGTGGATTCAGAAGATTCTTGGCGCTGCTCATATTTGGAACTCTGGCTTCGCGGGGTTCATGTTTGAGAGCAATTGAAAGCATTTGAGAGCTAAATCATCATCTTGAAGTGGGTGTTTTACCCTCAAGTAAGGCTGATGAGGTTGACAGAAATATGACACAGGGACAAATCTGTTTTGGTCCACTCTTTTGTGTGAGGATGTATGGCAGTACTTGCCTTGCACTGATACCTCATGGGATCATATGGGATCGATATACCTCTTCACACTACTTCTGAAAGTACAACATTGACCCTGCCATCAATTCCAAGAACAAACCACGGAAAAAGCATGGTTTCACATGTTTTCACCTTTCCTTTTGGGGTTGACCGTGATTGGCGATCTTCCGATATTGATATGGCATAGTAATATATAGTATACTGGTGCTGGTAGTGACATCATGGACATGCCAATCGAATCTCAGCCAGCGCCATCCAATGCCTGCAGGTACGACCCCCGATGTTTGCAACAATGGCAGTGTTTGAAGGCGACAGGCGGCCCTATGAGGCACTTGCTGGCCAGGTGCCGCGGGGAATTGTCGGAGTTCACCCAGAATTCAGCAAACATGGGGATAAACGAAGAGAAACTAAAATTATAAATTATACACGATGCATCATGATTAAAAAACACAAGCTTGATAGATTTTGGTCCCATGCTTGGTGAGTAGATTTGTATTTTTCTCACTATGTTCGGGTCATGTAGGATTGGCAGGAGGACCCGTGGACCCCTGAAGAGGGTCCCATGAAACCTGAACCCACTACTGCGACATCATTGATGATGCTTAGTAATTAGCAATAGGGAATTGTCCCAAAATGCCCCTTTTTTCCAGGCGGTGAATTACTTCAATCTATCTACCCTCTGGTAAACTAACATAGCTATAATATATGACAATATATGATCACAGATCATAGCATATGATAATTTATGATAATATATGTTGTTATGGCACTATTAGGTTAACTTTTTTACATAATTATGACAACCTATTTTATTATGACATCATTATTATGATAATTTATTTTATTATTGCATTATTATGATAATCTATTTTATTATGACATTGTTATGATCTATGTATGTGGATCATATCTTGTCAATATGTTGATTTGATTTTGTGTTGACGGGATGAAACAGCAAAAAAGAACTCGTTGGGGACATCCGTGGCTCCATTCTCCAGCGTCAGAGTCACTGTTTCAGTTGCGGATTCTGCATCACCTTGGGCGAGGGTTCATTCATAAGAATCCTGGGGTATCTTCTGTACAACTTAGATCTTGCGCCACTCAGAAACTGGTACCTTTTCCATCCGTTTCCCATGTTATGGGGAGGTGCCCACTTGAGAGATGGTGCTCCTCAGATTTCCTCAGGTTCCCCGGGCCCATTGTTGGATAAAAGGCTAGCTCCAGCCATTCGCCTGCGAAGGGATTTGATTCGCCAACAGCTTTGGGAGTAACTTGGCGCTGGGTGATGCTGATGCTGGGTGTTTAGCTGATGGCAAGCATAGGTAAGATGCACATTACTTGGTTGCCAGTCAGTTGCAACATGTTTTTGGGGTACGGGATGGTCCTAGCTATGCACAGACACACACATATATATATATATATATGATAATTAGATATTATATAGTTATATGAATTTGTATCCAGCCGCTCGCTGCGATTCACATCTAAGTAATCAGCTGAGGTGAAACGGACCCTTTTGTTCCACCTGAATTTGAGGTCGATCTTAGACGAAAGCAACAAATGCCCAGTAGCGCCCGCATCAGCTGGAGCGTCTGAGGTTTCTGTTGGAGGAACTTCCAGTGTTCACCGCGACCAGCTCGGTTTGTTTGTCCAAAGATGGACGTCAGGCTGGGCCAGTGCTGCCGGGGCGGTGTCAGGGCTGATGAAACATTGGCATGGCTCACAGCAATCAAAATGGCACTGTTTTCCGAGTTTGGTTGTAGAAAAAAAGGGAACAATGTTTAAACATGTTTAAGATGAGATAAATTGTAAGTTGATATGGAGATTGACCATACGTTTCAAAATGGCGTCATTCACAAGAAGTAGGGATTCGGCCACAGATGGATCAAACGGTAACTTCCATGTGGGTGCAGTGATTTTGCAGCCCTGAAACTCATGATCCGACCACGGGATGCGGGGACTGTATTCAGCAGAAGATATCGAAAGGCCTGGGTGATGTGTACAGAAATTTCGTCATTTGCCACCTGAAAAACAATATCTCCCGCGTATATCTGGTTGATTAATCGGTTGATGTGTTCCTCATCCTACATGGAATGATGACTCGATGACCCCAGCTGTTTTATTTTTTTATGGGTGAATCGGCCACCAACTACTTCCACTGCATCCCTCAGCGTGAATCGAGAAGATTGGTTATCTGGCTCCATGTTTATGTTTGTCGTTTGCATTTGGAGCTTTCAGCGCTGTTTCTATGATTGAATCTTTTAGGCCCATATTTTTAAACAAATGCAAGTCATGTCCTATGATTTGGAGATCAAGAGATCACGTGGGGTTCATTAAATTTGTTTGACATTTTTTGAACAGGGACGTCAACACACTGAATGTGGTATTTTTTTAGTGCAGACGGCACCGGGCAACGCCTTGTGAGGCAATACGAGTGGAGAAGCCGGACTGCCCCTTGCATTGGATGCATCGTATCTTGGTGCATTTCTTCCATGCTGGGATGATGCAGGTTGTGATTCACGGGATGGCCAGATGGCGGTATAGAATGATCTAGGCTAGCCAAGGGTACCCTCTGGTAGTCAAAGCCGGCGTGCTGGAAAATATGGATATTTATATGATATTTAAGTAGTCTTAGCCGATTTTCCCATTGAAACCTCCATACTGTATATGTGATCCAAGATCAGCATAGATTAGCCACGAATGCCTGGTAGCTGGTTGGAGGCAGCGGAAGGTGCCACAAGTCCCACTGCTAACCATGGAAATGTACTATGGCCTATTACTTGAGGGCGCAGTTATATTACATAAGTGGATATATATATTTATATATATATATATATTGTAACGACAGTAGTATAGTACTCCCAGAAAAAAGATAGAAAAGTGTTTCCAGAAGGGTTTAAATGATGGTTTCTCCATATTTCCAGGTTTCAAGCTTTTCGGCATTTTTTTGTTGGGTTTGCTCTATCCCATTCCAATTGCGCCGCAAGGCATGATGGCTCCAGAGGCTCCCCTCGTGGCGCTACGCATGCGCCCGGTTCAGCACTACGGCGTCACAGAGAATTGGGCCGAGTTGGTCGTGGAGACGGTTGCGGGGTAGCAGCCGGCGCTTCGTGTCGCGGGGTCTCCTTTTCAATGATCAGTGGCCATTAGGAACCGATTTGTTGGAGCACATATACCCTCCGCTAATTTAGCTCTAATTATTGAAGATTGCCCATTTATAGTGGATTTACCTATATATTAAAGATGGTGATTTTCCATAGCAATGTTAGTTTACCAGAGGGTATAAGGTATATTTTTCAGGTACCTGAAATCGCCACATGGCTGAAAACAACGGCACGACCACAACGACCTCATTGATTATAGCCTTAAAGCTTCCGGTTAGGGAAATCATCTCTAGATGGCCTTGTTACTTCAAAACTATAGAAATTGACCATGAAGCCAAACCATGGTTGTTTTCGGTATCAACGTTGATTTACTGCGGGGAATGTGCACTCACGAATACTTAGTAAGTATATGACATACAATGTTATAAATTATTTTATACATTGAACATCATTGAACTATGTAACATAATTTATTCGCACCAACTATCATCTCAAATTTACTCGTGTATATCAATCTAGTGTATCAATCCCATGTTCAGTTTGTAAAACGGTAAAACCTTTTGTTTACTTGTTTTTGTTGAACGTTAGCTTTACATGGGTTACTGTAAGGTGTGACCATCGTCGTTGTCCTTCGTACCATTTGGTATATATGGGTAAATTATAATGACCTCACTGCGACCTCACTGGAATCATGGTTAATAAGGGAAATCATCCCCAAATGGCCTTAATTCAGGTTAGTGAAATATTATAATTTACCCAGATATATACATGGTTGTTTGGTATATAGGTGTTTTTTTGATTTCGCCTGCATAGTTTTTCACAAAAGACACTGAGAATTTTCCACATTTTTTTTCTTTTGATTGGGTTAGTTTATATTATGATGTCTGTATATTTGCATATTTTTTCCATGACACATCTGATTTGTCCTTAAAAAATCGTGGGCATGTCATGGCGTTTCCCGGATTTGTTTTTCACAGGGGCGTTTCCTGGTGATTGATCCAGATGGGATGATTTGATCCAACCCGACCATATCTCCAATACTTCGTTGATATTACGTCAATCTTCAGTATATGCAAAAGAAATAGAAAACAAATAAAAAAAACACCGTCCTGGCTTAGTCCAAATCCTAGAATAAACGTGAACCTTTCAACACGACCTTAATTGTTAGGCTTGCGGATGGCACTGTTGGGTAGTTTATGTTCGTTTTAAATATGTTTGTTACATGTTTTTACTTATAGACCCAACCAATCCCCCAAATTTCAAGATTTCACTCATCATCACTCATCACTCATCTAAACCCCCACCCAAAAAATTGGTTGGAAAGCAGCCCGGCGGCCCCATCATCCCCAGGTCTGTGGTGACCGCTGCACCAGCATCCTGTTGGGCGTTTGCCCGGCCTGCCCGGACTTGTCCTCCGGGCCGCCGGCGGGGCGAGGCTACTTCGTGTCACTGGCGGAGATTCCAGCCGCTTGGCCGAGGTTTTGGGCACTGATGGCATGGCCGAGCAGTGGGAACTAAACATGGCAAGCCCGAAAATCCATGAAAATCCTTTATAAATTGCTATAAAATGTAGGGTTTTAATGGTTTTTGTTTTGGGGGGTATGGGAAAACCAAGTATACATGGACACATTTGGCACATACAAAAATATAATCTTGATATGGGGAATATATATGAATATATGGCCGTATATATATATATGCTTATGATGGGAGATGGGATTGAAAATTGGGATATAGCAGGGATATCCTTCTGGAAAATTACTGTGATATATACAAATACACAATCATGAATTTATTACAAGTCAGGTGTGAAGCTTAACTAAATACTGGTATGTTTGCATAAATGATAAGGACCTCACTTCACGAAGCTGGAATTGCTGCGTAGAATATACATGCATATACCATGGTCAATGAACCATATGCCGGTACATTGGTCAGTTGGTCGCGTTGTGACTGTCACTGATAGTCCTAATTGCTGTCCCGTGGGCCCGCGGATTCATTGTCCATGCCTGGAATTGTTTTTTTACCACTTGACGGCCCTGGCCGCACATTTCAAGATCAGACATGTCTTGAAGGGTCAAGTTTGCCCAACATAAATCATTCTCCATGATGATGGATGGAATTGACCTATGTATTCCATGTCAACCGTTTTCAAGCAACAATTTGGACGTGCTTGCGTTGATGTTCAACCGATTTCAGCCACATGAATTCCAGCAGTTTCCATCCCATGTTCCGTCTCCGTTTCGTGGTGACCATGTGCAAAAGTCATCAGTCAACCCGACCCCTCTGACAGCGAGTTTCACCTCCAAGGATTGTATCAGTGGTGTGCCTTACTGCATCTCGCTGGGTCTTGCGCAGTTCAAAACACGGTTACGTAGCGAACACCGGATCATGTGAAGCCAGAATTTTCGGAACCCAGTTCAGTAAATAGCAAGAGAGAATTTCGAAAGGAGTTGATTTCACTAGTTTGGGGGTGGCACCCACCAAAAAATAGCAATCCGGGCGTGACATTCATCATAGATTCCTGGCGTTTTCTTAACCAAAGGTTGATGTGCCGGCAATCCGCATGGCTCTTCTTAAAACCAGAATCTTGGCAAAATACTGCCTGTCCCATATCCCAAAACTTTACGAGTAACTTATACTCTGATGAAAAACCGTATGGATTTTTTTGGGGGATCATCCTGTGATGAAATTCATCGAATCATCCATATAGGGGCACTTTATCTATTTGAAAATATTGGGCATATTCCGATCATTACCAACTGGTAAACCAAGAAATCCATGGTGGATACCATGCAAAACTTCTGAGCCCTGCCTTTCAAGGCACCACTTCCGCGCGTTTTACTCAAGGGACACGCATCGCAGCACTGATTACAGGTCGGCACGGACATGACTATCCCGTGGTGAACGGAGGGAGCAGTGAAGGGAGCCATGGATGCATCTATAGCAAAAAACGGGGAACCATTTGGAGCAACGCGTTGAGTTTCCCAGCCAAATTGAACTGGTTGATTTTGGAAGAATTGTCACAAGAGTTGGCATTTCATTGCATTGGGTTCCATTCAATCACAAGCTAAATGGGAGTCAGAATGAATTTGTGGTCTGAAACCGTTACAGCAATTCCTTATTTAGAATAAGCTTATTGTGGTTTGTGGTGGTGGATTTTATATTTTGAGTATTTTTGAGCTATTTGCATATGCGCAACTGCATGTGCAATTCACATGAGCAGCATCAAAAACATCCATAAAGGGATTTAGTATTCGGGTTCATGTAGGGAACCTTCCGCGAAAGCAAAACCTCCACGCGCGAAAGCCGTGCGAAAGCTCCGCGAAAGGAGTGCGCCAAGGTCACGCCGCGAAAGCGGCCGCGAAAGCAGATGACTAGTGTAACATCATTTACGACGAATATTTTCCGCGAAAGCCGCTGCGAAAGATATTGCGAAAAAAATCCCGCCGCGAAAGCCAAAACTGTGCGCGCGAAAGCACCGCAGAAGCCGTCGCGAAAGCTTTTCTATAGTAGAACCAGATCGCTACCCGGTTTACGACGCCGCTCACATGTTTACCATTGTTTACCACTGTTCAGTCTTCAAACACACATGTGTCTTTTAGTGCAATGTGAGGCCCCCCAGTTATAAGTTGGTTTATAAGCCCGAGTAACTCTAGTTATAAGTACCATAAACCATAGTTATTGGAGTTATGTTCACCAACTTAGCTATCTTGGGGGCCTCGCATTGTGCAGAACTGCGCCAACTTCGCGCGCAGGCGATGGAAGTTTACAACTCCTGCGTGACGGGATGGTGATCGGCACGGAGCAGCATTTATTTTCCAAGGAAGCTCTGAAGAACTCCGAAGCCCGGCCGTCAGTCGTCAGTTCAGTGGTGCTTCCATCCCAAAAAGGTAGGTTATAATATTATGCAGTTATAACTTACTAGATTCACTGGAAGCCTAGATACAAGATGATACTTTTGTGGAAAAAAGCATGATTCAGCCTACTCCCACTGATCCCACTACCCAAAGATGGAACCTTCTTGCCATTACTTGATTACAAAATTGATCAAAATTGAATGAGCGACCAAGCAAGGATATTGCTGGATATAGCTGACGCGGAATAAACCAGAGATTGATTGGAAGTTGTTAGAGCCAACTGTGCTTAGCATACGGGGCGTATCGTTTACCAAAGAATTGCCGGGACAAGCACTGGAAATTCCATGTTTTCCATGGACCATGCGATCCCCTTTGTAGCCTTTCTGGTTTCCGAAGATGTGGGATATCCTGATTTTGCTGGTTCAAACATTTGACAACTTCTTGCGGTGCTTAAATCATCTTAAATCCCTGGTTGCTTCAATCATGGCATATCATTCCCCACTTGTTCCTTCAACGCCCATTTCTGTCAGTTAGCTCATTCTCAATTGTTTGATATCTTGAGGTTTCTATTCTCATTCCCCACTGTACCCTCCTGTAAACTGACATAGATATGGAAAACCCATGGTGGGTTTTCATGGGTATTCCACATCTATCATAATCTATATTGTTACTTTTCCCCCATGTATCTTCATACAAATGCCATTAAACTCCATTACTTGCCGATGTTAATTAGGAGTGAAGGAGTGGGTTTGAGGCTGCAAAATCGAAGGGAAAGAGGAGAAAACAAAAAATAAAGAACAAAAATGCATTTTGTTTCCGACTATGTTGTCTAAAATTGTATGTTTGGGAGGGGGGGCAGAGCGGTCAATAAATTTAGGGACGAGTGCTTTCCCCATGTGTGCACATGATCAGACATGTATAACTTCTTAGAAGATTTTTTGTGAGTGGCTGCACCCTCACAATCACAGTTTTGAAGCTATGTAAATCATTGGCTTGGCATCCCATGTCTTGCTGTGACACAGAAATGAAGCACACTATCTGTCTGTGTTTTTTTACAAGGAATACTGTGATATTACCACACGTTTTGCATAGTTTTAATTTAACAATTTTGAAGCCAAAACTGTGGAAATACCACACCGTTTGCACAATTTCGAAGCCAAAACTGTGGTATTACCACGCTTTTTACAGAGTTTCAAAGCCAAAGCTGTGGTATCTCTACATTTTTTACATTTTCCACTCCGTTTGAAGCCAAAACTGTGATATGTCTTCATTTCTTGCGTACTTGTGAAGCCACAAATTGATATTACCACACGTTTTGCACAGTCTGAAACCTAAAACTGTGATATGACCACATGTTTTGCATAGTTTTCGAGCCAAAACTGTGATATTACCACCGGTTTTTCATAGTTTGGAAATCAAACCTATGATGTTTCTGCATCTTGTGCGTAGTTTTGGAAGCAAAACTGTGAAATTACCACATGTTTTTGCATTTTTCTGGAGAGCTGACCTTTGTGCCGCCTGCTCTTTTCGAACGGGACTCCAAAAAATGCACTGCAAAAAAATGCACGAAGTGCGAGTGGAGCAAAAGAGGGCCCAAGAGACGAAAACAATGTTTGTTGCCAGATGGGAAGACGACCTGGCTCACTGCAGCCTTCACAGGCAGAGGCGTGCAGAAAGGAAATTTGAAACTCGGATGCGTTGTATGTCAGAAGTTTTTACAAAAACAAGTTGCTGGTGGCTCAATCCCAACAACAAAAGAAACCAGTGTCCGCCATAAATTTGCGCTTTTCAACGTGCCTGTGGCAAACATACCGCGCCATAATTCAAACAATTTACATAGGCATGGTCACACTTCGACTCATGTGCAAGCAATGTTGGACTGGGAAGATTCAGAGTCGTCCAGTGGCTGTGCCCTGGCTAGCCGTGCGCCCGGGAAGCAAGAGTTCCAAGATTGATTGAACTCATTACGGAAAGGTGCTAGTGGCAGAGACGGGCCTGGAAGTTCAGATAAAAAGATTTGATGAGATGGTGTTTGAGCGAAGCGATGTTGGATCATTACCGCGCCTGTTTGAAATGTGCTTCCATGGTGGTGTTGATCAGGGACGAAAGGCATGGCAAGATGTTGATCAGGTTCAGGGCCACTTTGAAGGACATGACGGTTGTGTGTGGGGTGCTTGGTTTGGTCGAGCTTAGACAAGGGTCTACAGCTAAAGACACTGTGGACGCAACCGAAAAAGCTTTCAACATATTTGCCACTCCAAGACATGAGGCTACTCGAAATTTCCGTGGCTGTACCCGGAAATTAGAGTCAAAGTTACTGCAGCATTTGCAGGAACGAGTTGAAATCACTGCCACCGATTGTGCTGCAGCAGAGATACTAGCTCAGGAATTGGGCAGAGGCCGCCGTGGAGCAGAGGAAACTTTGTTTCCCAGGACAAAGATGATTGGGAGAGATAGGGCCCACGCCTGCCAGAGGTTACTTCGACACCCATGGAAAGCGGAGACTGCAATCAAAACTTTGATGGAGGAGACCGTGCTGGGGAAGAATTCCGTGTGCCAGAAGATTTGGAACAGTACCACGTATTCTGCTTGGTTTGCGGACTCGGTTTCCGGCAGCGAATTTTCGAGAGGCCAAACATTGCCAGCAGCTAAGCATCGCTTTTGCTTTTTGAGCAAGCCTTTGGGACGCTTCATCCTTCACCTGGACGCAGTAGCAGAGACACTATACAAAATCGCTGCCATGAAAGGAACTGAGGCAGCACAGTGGGCAACAGACTGGATGGATGGCTGCACCTCCACCAGTGTCCTAACTTTGGCCATGCGTGCGGACATCGGAGCTGCCGCGGTGGATTTAACACGATTCTTCGACTCTGAAGAGATGGACATAGCAGAGATCAATTCCGAAGTGGCTGTTTTTATGCAGAGTTTGCAGGCTTGTCATGTTGTTGCATCGTTGTCCATTATTTTGTTAATATTGAGCATTTTATGTTTTCAGCCATTTTTCTGTGGAGGTTTTGTTTGCTGACGAGCAATGCTGGAACTTGCATGACTACACGAAGCATTGTGCTGAAGTGCTGCACAATGGGAAACTTCTTTTCTTCTACAATGGTGTGGCTAAGCGGCTCGGAGGGAGCAATTTGGAAAGTGCCAAGAGGGCTGCCTTGCAGCACATGCGGAAAGTGATCAAAGTACGTGAAGACGCTGTGAGATCAGAGTTCCCAAGTTTTGATGGCATGATGGTGTTTAGTGTTTTTAACTTGAAGGAAGATGTTGGCTGCCCCACGTCATCCATGCTGCAAGACATGATTCCAGGAAAAAAACATTATCCCAAAACATGCGACAGCTTGGAAAGGCTTTCACTCATTTTCCAAGTTTCCAGAGACAAGTTGATTGCTGAATATGAATACCTACATAGAGTCGCCAGTGCTCACATGAAGTCCGCTGGGGTTTCAACAGAGAGTCTTGGCAATGGGCCTGGCGCAAATGCAGCAGCAGGAAAGACATGACAACTTTGGAACCTGTGGCTTGTATGCGTGTAATTTTGTTTTGTTTTTCAAACAGTTCCATAGGAAGGTCCACATGAACATTGATTACTCCTAAGGTGCTTGCAGCATATCTTTCTTGGACCACAAGTTCAAGTGGGGTCGAGCAGGCTTTTAGCCAGGTGGACCGAACCCATCTGGAGAGAGGCAATGGCAAGAATGATTGCTATCGCCGCGCGGTTGTGTCAATGACAGATCCCAACACAGCGGAGAGAAGTGCTGAAATTCTGATTGAAAATGCCAAAAAATTATATAGCGAAGGTCGCACTTGGACTTGCAAGAAAGAACGGCAGAGCCGCTTTGACAAAGGAACTACACGTCATGCAAGTGGAAAGGTTCAGCCTGGGCAAGACGTAAGCGGAACTGTTGGCTCTGATGGCCGTACTTCAGAAGCGGAGTGGCACAGAAAACCGAAAGAACAGTTACAAAGGGCTGTGGCAACTCCATGTTGGAAAATAAGAGATTGGATTCTGACACTGTGGAGGAGGAACCGTCCCTGGCAAAAGCATCCAAACGTTTGAAGCAAGTGGAAGACAAAAAGCGAATTGAGGCACAGTGTGATGGACACCTTTTAGAAGATGAAAAAGGGAAGCCTCACACGGTGACCCAAAGACAAAAAAAAATGGCCAAGGATGATGCTCAACGCATTGCCATTGAAGCACCCCGGGCTGCTGCATGGAGAAGTGCCAGCGACCGAAAAGACCACTTTTTTTGAGCAAAAAGTCAATGGGCAAAACATTGGGCTTGAGAAGCCGAACAGTGATCAGATCCAGAAACTGGTGGCTTGGGGTGCCAATTCAGTGTCCTCAGATCTGGAAAAATCAACGGTCTTCTTGGTGAACAACAGCGAGCCTCAACCGCGTGCTCTCTGGCATGCTGTTCTGAAAGGAGGTGTGGTCATGAACGAAGGCTTGCTCGAAGCTGAGTCGGCTGTTTTTTTCCATTAGATTTTGCAAGCCTGCTGTCAAGAAAAAGATGAAAATACACTTCTCTCCAGAGCTGTGTGAGAAGAAAAGCAACGTGCAAAAATTTTTACAGGATCACTGCAACAGAGGCACAAACTCATGGGAAACTTCTGCATTGACATCGGCGCACATGGTGCTGTGTCTGGAATCAGAGAAGAACACTTTCAAAAAAAAGGGACGAACTGTCAAAACTGACAGAGAATTCTTGGACATGTTGTTGTCTAGTCACCGAGATGAGAAGCAGTGCGCAAGGAGTGCTTAGTTTTACAATGATGGTTCAACTCAATGTATCTTAGAGCAGGTTGTGTGAGGAATGATGGCTTATACCTCATTCTTGTTGTGGGGCTTTCATGAATTGTGTGTTGTCCAAAGACGTCAGCACCATCATTTTCATGACCAGGAACCTTCGGCCTTGGGGACGGTTGAGAGACAGTACTTGGGGAAAAAGTCGTCAGCGCGCTGCGCTTGTCATGCCAACTCAAAGTGCTCAAGCATGACTGTTTCTTTGGTTGGCCTGCAAGCCTCCTAACTGGTAGAACAGGAGTGTGCGACGTTAATTGGGGCGACGTTAATTAGGAATGGGCGACGTTAATTAGGAGTGGGCGACGTTAAAGTTGCTTACGCACAGCCAGACCAGCCAGATCGCGCGTAAGGACCCCGGGGGTTGCGTTAGCGGGCTGCGTGTAAGGACCCCGGGGGAACCCGGGGTCCTTACACGCACCCTGGCCAGGGTGCGTGTAAGGACCCCGGCGCCGCTACAACGCGTGCGTGTAAGGACCCCGGGGTGCATTCAACGCTGCGTGCCCGGGGTCCTTACACACAGCCAGACCAGCCAGGGTGCGTGTAAGGACCCCGGGTTTGCCCGGGGTCCTTACACGCACGCCGCTGCCGCAGCTCAGCCTTTGACCTGGCCTGTGAGGTTCAAGCCGGGGTCTCGGGCAAGATGTGGAAAAGCTAATAGTAACACCAGCGGATTCTTTCCTGATAGTCGTAAGTATTATTGTGAGACACAACACATATTATTGACCTGCAATCAAAGTACGGTGAGTTAGGAAGCCATGGCATGAGGTGGAGTCGTGCTGGATGAAGTCCTTGACAAGAAGAAAAATCAAAAGCTTCAATGTGCAAAAAGATAAAGGTCCACCAGGCAAGCCAAGAAAGAAACCAGTTATCACCAAGGAAACTTTTGAAAAAATGATGGGTCAAGTGCGCTCTTTGGCTGATGCCGCTGAGCTTGTGAAAAAACAATGGACACTGGGTCCATCAGAGTGGCCAGTGATTGCACAGGTCTGGGTTCGGAAATCATTGCTCTGGCCTTGTTAGGTTTGCTGCCAAGAGTGGAAAGCGTGTGCTGGTCAGAAACTGACGAAGACAAGCAAAAATTATATAGATGTATCTGTGCACAGTTGAAGCACGAAGTTGGAACTTTGGAGATGGACATGACTGAACGGAGTTTGGTTTTGGGTGGCTGCACCTCCAAACCTCGCAACATAGATTTATACGTTGCTGGTTACCCTTGTCCATCCTTCAGTGCGTTGGGTCGAAAACGTGGAGGCCTTGATCCAAGAGGAGTAGTTCCTTTGTACGGTTTGCAATGGATAATCAAAGAGCAACCCAAAGCCTGCATTTTGGAGAACGTGGCAGGCCTTCTTCACAAAAAACATGCCGATTATGTGGCTTTCTTGCGTGAATTTTTGACGAAAATGAATTATGTGCTATTCAAAAAGAAAATGACTACCTTGGGGTACGGAATACCTCAGAGCTGGTGCCGTGTCTATCTACATTGTGGCCATCAGAGCAGATGCCAAGAAGGAAAAATTCAAGTGGCCCAAGGAGATCAAATTTTCCAAATCCTGGCTGAATTTTTTTCTGGAGACCAGCAAGAGGGGCGAAGAAAAAATGAATTTGCGAAACTACGAGGAGAAATATGGCAAAAACACCATCTGGAATGATGCTTATGTTCTGGATGTAGGAAGTAGTCATGGTTTTCAATCAGCAGCACCCCACAAGGTACCCTGTTTGACTCGCACCAGAATCAAGGGAAAAGAGACTGGATATTACATCCCACGTCTATTCAGGCGACTGAATTCTGTAGAAGGGGTCAGGCTGCAGGGCATTCTTTCACATCTGGCTGCACCGATGGTGGTGAGGGCTGCCTGTGGAGACAGTATGTCCCTCAATGTCCTCGGAAAAGTGATTTTAGCCACATTGGTGGCCATTGGCAAAGTGGCTCCCAACAATGCCTTGGATCCATAGAAAGAAAGTAACCTCCAGAAGCAAAAAGAGATCGGAAAGCCTCTTTCAGATTTTGTTTTCGAAAAGAATGTTTGTTCAAGAAAATGACAACAACGCGCAACTCAGCATGGCTGCACCTGCTGTAACTTGCATTCAGGCAGGGCTGGACAAAAGACAGCATGCTTGGTGAGAAAAAAAGAATTGTTTACAAAGCAGCAACCCTGAATTGATTTTGTAAAGAAACTGTGTATACCGACCGGCCGAAAGATAGAATATTTTTCACTACCAGACACGCGAGTGAGAAAATTACCATCGGCCTCCCACTCAAAAAAAACACCACAAGATAGAATATTAATATAGAATATTCACAAATAGTCACAGAACACCCCCTTGAATATTCTATCTTGTCAATTTCGTGCATGCCTGTGCAGAAACCTTTGAAACTAATGATGATGTTTGAAGCAACAGGGTGCTATGGTGAAATGACGTTAAACAAATTCAGCTTTGGGATTGCCAACAATTCTGAATCCAACATGTTCCAATATGGGAACCCCCCCCTTGAATATTCTATCTTGTCAATTTCGTGCATGCCTGCGCAGAAAAGTTTGAAACTACTGATGATTTTTGAAGCAGAGCTGCTACTGTGAAATGACGTTAACCAAATTCAGCTTTGGGATTGCCAACAAGTCTGAATCCAACATGTTCCAATATGGGAAACCCCCCCCTTGAATATTCTATCTTGTCAATTTCGTGCATGCCTGTGCAGAAAACTTTGAAACTACTGATGATTTTTGAAGCAACAGGGTGCTACTGTGAAATGATGTTAAACAAATTCTGCTGTGGGATTTCCAACAATTCTGAATCCAACATGTTCCAATATGGGAACACCCCTTGAATATTCTATCTTGTCAATTTCGTGCATGCCTGTGCAGAAAACTACTGATGATTTTTGAAGCAACAGGACGCCAAGTCAACATGCCAGAAAAAACAAGGAAACATGATGAAAAATAGAGGAAAAAACAATGAAAAATGATGAACAAGAGAGAACAAAACAAGAAAAAATGATGAAACAGAGTGAAAAATAACAATGAAACATGATGAAAAAGAGATAAAAAAAAACAAGGAAACATGATGAAAAATAGAGAAACAACAATGGAAAATGATGAAACAGAGAAAAAAAACAATGAAAAAATGAAGAAAAAAAGAGAAAAACCACAATGAAAAATGATGAAAAAATAGAGAAGCACAAATGAAAAATGATGAACAAGAGAGAAAAAACCATGAAAAATGATGAAAAAGAGAGGAAAAAACAATGAACAATGATGAAAAATAGTGGGAAAATACGGAAACATGATGAAACATAGAGGAAAAAACAATGAACAACGATGAACAAAAGAGGAAAAACAACAAGAAAAAATGATGAAAACGAGTGAAAAAAACAATGAAACATGATGAAAAAGAGAGAAGAAAACACGAACAAATGATGACAAAGAGTGAAAAAAACAATGAAACATGATGAAAAAGAGAGAAAAAAACAAGGAAACATGATGAAAAATAGAGAAACAACAATGAAAAATGATGAAAAAGAGTGAAAAAACAATGAAACATGATGAAAAAGAGAGAAAACAACAATGAAAAATGATGAAACCGATTATATAAACATTTGGGAAAAAACAATGAAAAATGATGAAACATAGAGACAAAACAATGAAAAATGATGAAACAGAGAGAAAAAACAATGAACAATGATGAAAAATAGAGGAA